GGAAGGGTCACGATCTTGCCGTGCCTCAACGATTGAACACCGACCGGCTTTTCTTGCTTTTTTGAACGTCACAAGGTTGGTTTGTTTGTTTGTTTGTTTGTTTTTCTCCCCATCATTGGACTCTGTCGTCTGCCCCTCTGGCCCCTATCCTCCACTTCTACTAGCTAGACGACCCAAGCGGGGTCACATAGGAGGGCGGGGTTGGACCCCCTCCTGCGGTTCATGCCTGAGGTATTTTTATCGCGAGAAGGGTACAGCAACCCCTTCCCTCGCGACTTACGAAGTCGATTATGGTTTACTAACAAACGAGCTTTGCAGCGCGCAGCGCGTCGCTTTCATCCTAGACCAGGATTTATATGTAGTGGGAAAAAAACTTTCTCTGCCGGGACTCGAACCCATGACCTGGTCCTTAGCAGGCTGCGACGCTACCCAGTAGACCACCGGGGCGCATGTGGGGTGTTTCAGTGTGATTCCGCCGGCTGAGCCCATTTTATTTCACCCGTCCGTTTGCTCTTCGACCAATCTGAGCGCACATGAGAGACGTGCGGGCCGTAGGGCCGGCACTGACTGCTGTGTATGCCTGGCCTTGTTGTGTCGGGCGTTTATTTGCGCACGCCCACGGAGCTACATACGCACGCTCTAGGGGTTGTATGGCTTATTGAACATATTTTGTTGCAACAAGAGTTCAACCAACCGTCGTTTTGATGAGCTTCGTATCCATGTCGCTACGTGCATAGACTGCAGGGCATCCCTCCGGAGTGGGGTGAAGAGAGCTCGCTGCATACTATCGTGTTACATCTGGTTCTGCAAGGCTTACCAGGCAGGGTATTGGTACTTGATTTCCCTGCGATCCGATGCCCGCTACGTACGGCTGGCTGTTGTAATCTGTAAGCAGCAGCAAGGTCTGGTGGCAGCTTTGATAGACTCCCCCCGGTGTTTCTCAACACATGCTATGCATACTAGTCTAAATATCACTAACACACAGGAAAGTTACATTCAGTAGTAGCAGGAGAGACATTTATTATGAAAATGAAAATTTGAAATATATCAAAGAGTATGTTTAGTAGAGTATGAAAAGCCGTACTAAACCGCAAGAGTACGTTGAGTAGAGTATGATGAGCCGTACTATAAAGTGAGTATAAGTAGAGTATGAAAAGCCGTACTAAACCGCAAGAGTACGTTGAGTAGAGTATGATGAGCCGTACTATAAAGTGAGTATAAGTAGAGTATGAAAAGCCATTGTTATATATATAAGACAACAACAACATACTCAAAAAGATGTTGAGTAGAGTATTGAAGAGCCGTACTTACAAAAGTTTTAGTAGAGTATGAATAGCTGTACTAAACCGCCACAGTATGCTTAGTAGAGTATGAAAAGCTGTACTAAAGTGTTAGTAATTCTCTACTGGGCGAAAAGGGCCAGATACTTACTCAATACTCGGGTCAGTACTAATAGTAGATACTATACTCTAATACTAAACCTACCCGTGAAATATATAGTACTATGCATCTACACATATGTAGACTATGCATACATGTGCTCTTGCAACACTTGGAGATTCGAGAGGAGAGAGATCACACCGACCAGCGAAAAACAAGTGACAGCTTTCAATCTTGAAAGTCGACGCGGATGTCATGTCGTGACTCCTGCTTTCGTTTCATGTCATCATGTGCCAGAAGCCTCGACCGAGGAGTCATATGCACATAGCCTAGACTACATGCGCATGCATAGAGATACGAAAAAGCGGCCGTTGCCTTGCTCTTCGGCATGTAGTCTATTATATACAGGCCCTATATGATATTAGTTTCTATCTACCAGTTCATGACGCACGGCGGCGGTAGATTCCTTCATCGCGATTTTGATTTCCAAAGAATGGGGTGTTTGTGCGCAGGCATTGCTCATGAGAGTGATCACAAAACAATGATGTGTAACGATTTCGGCTGCAGGAAGAAAAACAAGCAGATGTGTGGCGCGAAGAGGTGGTGCGTTCGAGGGTTGACCGAAAATCATCTTCAAAAGTTTTCGGTCAATCTGATTTCTGGCGACTACTTGTAGGATCGTCTAGGTTTTTGTCATCAATGAATGTCGGAATGTCAACCAGTCCTGCAGACATTCAGACATTCCGCACCAGGTAACAGTCCAATAATGCACCCGGTGAGCAGAGGAGATGGGAGTTGGTGTATTCCCCCGCTTTGCATTGACACAGATCTGTGCATAGCAGCCGCATCGTCGCCCCGTCCCACCATCCAGCCACCATCCGTCCAGATACATATGTACATCCCGTTGCTCATTTTTTGAACCAACCGCGAAAAGTGGTTCGGCGCTAAAAAGCCATTCGCCCGAGCCGAATACAGTATATATACACACCTGCCGTCAGATCATCCTCATCAGTTCTGCTTTTTTGGCCGTTGATGCTGCTTCCGCAGACAACGCGTGACCGCACAGCGGTGTACACCAAGATACCACAGCAGGGCGCGCGCTGGGTGCTCGGGGACGGGCTGGGGCGGGCGGAAAGCCGCTGGCAGCAGCGAAAGTGGGAGAGAGGAGACCAGCCAAAAACCAACCAGGACTCACACAGCAAGCTCCAACCAGGTGTGATGGGTGTGCGTTATACACACTCTCGAAACACACACGCGAGATATAGAAAAGTGTCCCCTCTCTTCTCAGCAACAGCGGAGATCGCGCGGTAGGCAAAGTTCCTGGCGGCGGTCCGTCTGATTGACCTACTACTCGCTCGCTCTTCCCCGCTCGTCCCCCTCGAGGCAGCAGCGCACCTCACCTGCACGGCCGTCCGTAGGAACGAAGACGGAGACACCAGGTATTTGGACGTACCACACCGCTTCCCATTTGTGTCCTCGTATTTCAAAGTTAAAAATTCAGCTTTTCTTATGTAATCGCCCTTGCGCATCATGTAGATGGTTGCTGTGCAACACGGCACCGCGCGGGCGGCGTGAGAACGGCAACACCTGTGGCTTCCCTGATGAGCCCCCCCCCCCTTTTTGGCGACAGAGACAGAGAGAGACGTCAGGAAGCTTGGATCCTCGTGTGGCGCAACAGCAGGAATGACAAACCACAGACGGCAAGATGTTGATTTTTTTCGTCCCGCACACCGCGTTCGTTGAATGTACAGCAATACTGCTGTGCAGCCACCACCACGTGTGGGTCTTCAGGCCGCTTGTGGCGGTGACGAACCAGAGGGTGTCCTCCCTGCATCCCCCAACCCGCACCAGGGGGATCTAGTGTGAATCGTGCTCAAACATTGCTTTCGTGCAACGCTACGTGCAACCTGTGAAAACAATGTATTGTTTCGCCACCTTCAACCCAAAAAGTCCTGCGTAGGTTCCTGACCTGGTGCACTATGTTTTTCAGCGAGACCCTGATCAAAACGTCTCCCTTCCATGCGTAGTCTGCAGCATGTATAGCAGTAGAATGCACGGAGAGCCCATGTATCCTGCAGGCAACCTCCCTACCCTCCGCACTAGAAAGATACAGGAGGGTCTGCTGCTGAACGGTGTCTTCAGCCAGTCTACCATACCATGGAATGTTGCAAGTATTTCCAGAAAGGCCGATTGTATCGACTACAAAGTCAAGTGCGCACGGTCTAGAAACTTACACTTAGTCTAGCTCGCGAAAGATTGTCTTTGGTCAGTCTCCGAGCTGCTGTCATCACGCAGTTCTGCCCGCCCAAGTATGTCATTGTAGTAGACGACGCCTCGCTGGATGGTTGTCCTAGGTTATAGATGGAATTGGTTCGTGTCACATGCATGAGACTACTCTCAATAGTGCGGTAGGGTAACGGCGGGGGACCTGCAAAAACGGAAGGAAGGCTCATCAACTTGGGTGCATGTGACCATTTCGGGGGGGCAACTCCTAAAACGAAAAGTGGACGGATAGATCAACTTGGATAGATACAACAAGATAGCTGTCGCGCTGAGCCTGTTTCCACAAGGGAGATATCGCTGTGTGCTACTCGGGAAATTGTCGAAATACAGGTAGCTTCTGCTGACGCCATGGGTTTCTTTGCTCTTTTATCGCCTGGCACAGCAGTAGACTCTAATTTCTTTGCACAGCAGTACAAGTAGATGTAGACAGAAATGGATTCGTTGTGTCATTCGATGCATACAATACGTGTAGTCTAGACTACTGGGAAACAGAAAAAGAAACAGGGCGGTGACTTTAACGGTATTCAAACGATGGTCGTTGCCGCAAGGCGCGGCTACAACGACAGTAAACCGAAAAAAATACTCGTCATCCCTGTCTTCTGCCTACCCAACTTCCAGCTCCCTCTTGACATGCCTTTCCCTTGTTCCTTGTGTCTGTTTTTATCTGCGTTGGGAGCGATGTTGTGTACGTGCCGTTGGTTCCGCGGTGCACATGCATGTTTTTTGGGTGGATACCGTGTGCCAGTCCCATGTACAAGTTGAATTCAAGTACAAGCACATACTGGTGGACCAGAGACCAGAAGCCAGCACCGCGCCATGTACACACGGTGGTGGAACCCCAAAGAAAGGAAAAAATCGCGGTGCAAATTTCATACGTGGGGTACTACCGCTCTGCAGCACCACTGGTGTATCTCCTTGCGATCATGGCGGCGAAACGGTTTCACCCAACAAAAATATCCAGGATACACAGTTACACATGTGATTGTACTCGAACTACGAGATACCACTGCTGGAATCCCTACCCCAGGGCAGTATTTGTGGCAGAACGCAACCTGATTTGAGATTTTCCCCGAAGTACGTGATAGACTCCGAGATCCCTGAGAGCTTTGGATCGGTGGTTGCACCACACCCTGCGCTTCTACCCAGTACGTCGCTCAACGATGTGCGATGCACGTTATGGCAATCCAAAAAAACTTCTTGTCATTCACATGTGTATATTCCACACTCTGACCGAAAATCCCGCTTCTCCTCTCCGGCCTCTGCACCTCGGCAGTCTCTCGGAGCCACGCACGTTGTTGGTGCCAAAACGGTAGGTACGGTAGGTACGGTATCAGGGGATGGTTCCTTCGCTTCTTGACGGTGCCGGCCACGAACATGTCGACGCGGCTCAACGCGGTGGCGCCGGCGGCGCGGACGTGCGGGACCTAGCCGCCGACTCGCAGAAGCTCGCCATAGCGATGGCCTCCAAGACCCCGGACGCGCAGTACACGGTGCAGCGGCTCGTGGCGGACCACTCGCCCGCCGTCAAGGGGATACACGAGTCGCTGCTCGCCATCACCGCAAAGATCGACCTCGAGGTGAAGACGAGGAGGGAAGAACTGCTGGCCGTGGCGAAGATGTGCACCCTTGTCGCGGCGGCGTCCGTCGTGGTCGTCTCCCAAGAGCACGAGCAGGAACGCCAACGGCACCAGCAACAACGACAACGCGAGCAGCGGCACGGGCCGAGCTGGAAGGGGACAGCGAGGAGCGCGACCTGCGGCTCCGACAACAACGGCGGCGGCGGCGGCGGCGGCGGCGGCGGCGGTTGCAGTGAGAGGATGATGCGGTTGCTGGACGTCGGGCCGTTGCGGGAGTGCGTCGAGGCGTTGGGGTTCTTGGTTGGGAGGAAGGATGCAAGGCGACGAACCCTGCTGCGAAGGTCAGGCAGCAGCAGCATCAAGGACGAGATCGCCGACCTCAACGGCCGCGTGCTTGACGCCGCGAGAGAGATGGGCCTTGCGGGGATCTTGGCCGTGTTCAAGGGCGTCTTGGTGAGTTTTTTGTGTTCTTTTTCTTCGTGAGGCAGCTCAAGTTGGGCAGCTTCCTCGTTTCCTCGGAAATACAGCACTACATGCAATCAAAGAGAGACTGCCCGTTCTTTTCTGCAGCGGGTACAATAGATATGCAGGCGTTTGGTGTTTACTACCGTGAAAGTATTTCGATAGAATATTGGAACACAAACTCCCATTTGCAAAATCCGGCGGCGGGACAGTGGCATGTTTTTGGGACGGATGACAAGCAGCAGCTCATGACACCTCTCATTCTCATGCACACGAGGGGAGAATCCGCCGGCCTAGCGTTGGTAGGTCGTCTCCATACGCTTGTGAGGGGTGGGACAGGTCGATTGTACGCGCAGTCTATACGCACCAGAAGTGAGTGCCAGGTGCTTGGAGATCCTCCGTGCCTGCATGCAGACAAACTTGCCTCGTTGCTCACTTGCCGTGCTGTGTTAGCATTACTCTCTTTCTGCATGTCCTCCTTGCGTCTACCCACGCGAAGACATTTGCAACACGCCCCCCTCGCTCCGCTGCCTTTTGAACTGTCTTGCTCTACCTGCGGGTCAACGCATTTTTTTTTTGCCAGGAGGACACCGGCGGAGGGTACGGGAGCAGCCCGGGCGGCATCAGTGACGTCCTGACCCAGCAGGAGGTCGACCTGGCGCGGCAACCGAAGAGATCTCCGCCAAGAGCTCGCGTCCCATCCTTGCTCCCCCGCCGCGAGAGCTGGCACGTGAGGCGCGAGCTGGTCATCGGCACTGTGCTCCGAAGCCTCCTCTCCGCTCCCGGGGGCAGCAATAGCCGCGGCGGCAGCAGCAGCGGGGACGGCTACACCGCGGGCGGCGGCGGGCGGGCGGGAGGCGGGGGGAGGGAGGCGGGGCCCCGGGTGGTGGGCCTGGTGGGAGAGAGCGGGACCGGGAAGACCGCGACAGCGGCGGAGATCGTGCGTGGGCCCGAGGTGCTGGAGTACTTCTCCGACGGCGTGGTCTGGCTGCCCGTCAACGAGGGCGACGGCGACCGAGACCGCCTCCCGTCCCTGATGAAGAGGCTGGCGAGGATCATGTACGAGGAGGTCGGCATCAAGCACGGCTTCGGCGCCCCCCCCGTGGGCGGCGGCGGCGGCGGCGCCAGCTCCGATGATCCCTGGGGAGGACCCCGTCATGGCGGCGGGAGCGGGAGCGGTGCTGCGAACGACGGCGGCGGCGGCGGCGCGGCCTACGTCAAGGCCCTCGTGGAAGGCGGCGGTCAGCAGCAGCAGCAGGCCGTCGCCGCCGCCGCCGCCGCCGCCGCCGCCGCCGCCGCCGACGGCCACGGTGGGCCGCGCCAGCGGCGGCCGCTACGGTGCCTGGTCGCGGTGGACAACGTGTGCGAGGCCGAGGTGGTCGCAACGCTCGCGGAGACCGGCGTGTGGGTCCTGCTGACCACCCGCGACTGGGACGTGATCCCCAGGGTAGGGGGCAAGCCGGTGGTGATCGGCCGGCTCCTCGAGACGGACGCCGACTGGGTGCTGAGGAGGGCGTCGGAGCTACCGGGCGACGAGCCCCCGCCCGCCGGCGCGAGGGAACTAATCGAGCTTTGCGGCCGGACGGTGCTGGACCTGGCGTTCGTAGGGAGGTGGAGCACGGTGTGCGGGAGCAAAGACCCGATGGCGTGGCGGAACGCGGCCGACAGTATCCGCGCGGAGCTCAACAACCTGGAGCTGACGCGGGAGGACGACGACGCGCGAAGCAGCGTCACCGTCGCCGGTAAGGTTGGCGGTGGCGGCGGGAAGGAGAAGAAGCTGCTGCTGCTGCAGCAGTCCACGGCCTCCTGCTCGACGATCGAGGACGGAGCGCCGGCGTCGGTGATTACCGGAAGCGAGGCCTCTTCTTTCGCGCCCTCCTCGACGTGCTTCTCCTCCACGTCGTCGTCTTCCAGCAGGGCTGCCCACCACGGCCGGGAGAGCCAGCGGAAGGCGATCCTCCGCGCCGGGTTCCGGGACCTCGTCAGCGTGGCGGGCGATGACGACTCTCGCTTACTGTACCTTTCGCTCGCGGTGTTGCCCGACGGCCACGAGTTCACGGTGAAGGACGCGGCGGTGCTGCTCCACGGCGACGGCAGCGCCCGGTGCGGCGATGGAATTGTGGCGGCGGCGGGGGGGAGGGGAGACACGGGTGGCGGAGGACGGGAGGAGAAGGCGGCGAGGAGGGTGCTCAGGGTCCTGGAGGCGCGGGGCATCCTGACCGCGTCCGGGGGACGGGGAGGGAGGAGGAGGAGCGCATCGTCGCCGTCGTCTTTCCGCATGCACGAAGCCCACTCGGCGTTTGCGAGGGAGATACTCCTGGACTGCCCGAAGATCCTCGGGTGGGCCGTGGGTAGGTGGGTCGGCTTCCTCTCCTCGCTCGACGCCGTGCTCTTCTTTGACCCGTTCGCGCTCGCCCGCCTCTGGTCGGCGGTGGAGGACGTCGGGGGAAAGGGCTGGCGCGACGGGCGGCCGTACGAGACGGCCCTCGAGGCCATCGACAACTACGACCCCCTCTGCCGCGTGTGCCTCGTGGCGGTGGCCAAGTTCCGGGGCGCGGAGGGCGACTGGGACGGGGCGTCCCTGATGTGGCGACGCCTCCTGACGGTGGAGCAGCGGGCCCAGGAGCCCAACGTCATGTATCCGGTGTGGGAGCTGGTAAACGCCGCGGAGAATGGCGGGAAGCCGGAGGAGGCGGCGGCGTGGCGGCGGTACGGCCGCGAGACCCTGAACCTGGCCATGGTGAAGTCGACCATGGTGCCGCCCGAGACCGGGGCTCGCGACAGCGGCGGCGGCGGCTGCGTTGGCGGCAGCAGCGGCGGCGGTGGCGGTAGCTACTCGACCAAGAGCAGCAGCGGCGGCGGCCCGAAGCGCTCGGCCGACACGGCCTCCGTGCTCCGGTCCCTCGCCCTCAACATCGTTCGGTTCGGGCCTTCCCATGGCGTGGAGGCCGAGATGATGCTGCGGCGCGCCCTCGAGATCGAGGTGGCCCGGCGAGGGCCTGACGACCCCCAGGTGGCCGTCACCCTTGGGCGGCTCGGCGTCTGCGTGCGGCAGGCTGGGCGCCTGAAGGAGGCGGAGCAGCTGCTGAGGCGAGCTCTCACGATCGAGGAGGCCAGGCTGGGTGAGTGAGCCCTTTGCGACTCTGACTTCTCGCGAGCGGGCGGCCTTTGCGTCCGTGCGGGAAAATGTCGCTCTGGAGTGTGTGTGAGGCCCACGCCTACAACTGTCGTAATGGTCACCGACGACGACGACTCTTGCGGCGCTTGTGCTGGCACTCGGGCACGGTCGTGTTTGTTTTGTACCGATCCGTGCTGCTCCTACTACGGTAGTACGACTGTTATTCTGGGAGACTCATTTCCTGCAGCAACAATCGTGGTAGTTTCACAGACCTGTGGAAGGTTCTCCGCCCTTCTTCCCTGCCCCCCTGGGCACGTGCTTCCTCTTTCTCCCTACGTTGCTCTTACTCGGCCTCCTCCCCTTTCTCGTGTCTCTACTCGTCCCTCTCTGTCTCTCTACCCCCCCCCCCCCCCTCCGGTGCTCAACCCTTGCCCGACTCGGATTTCGCCTCTTCAGGCGAAGACGACCCTAGGGTCGCGCGCACGCTCTTCCACCTTGGAGTGTGCCTCCGTGTTGCCGGGAGGCTCGAGGAGGCCGAGGAAGTTCTCTGGCGGGCCCTGGACATCGAGACGGAGAGGCGGGGCGCCGACGACCTGACCGTCGCCGGCACGCTCCACGCGCTAGGCCTGTGCGCCAAGCTCTCGTCTCGGGGCGGCGGCGGCGGCGCGCTGGAGGAGGCGACCGAGCTGTTCGCCCGCGCCCTGGCCATCAGGGAGGCCAAGCTCCAGCCCGACGACGCCTCGGTTGGGCAAACCCTCTTCGAGCTGGGCGTGTGCCTGAGGCGCGACGGGAGGGTGCAAGAGGCGGAGGCTTTCCTGAGGCGGGCCCTGGGGATCAAAGAGGCGGCCGCGGCGCTCGAAGCGGAGGGAGGCGTCGCCGCCACCGGCGCCGGCGGCGCCCGCCCGGCCTTGAGCCGTCGCAGCAGCAGCGGCAGCAGCGGCGCCGGCAGCAGGGGCAGCACCGGCCGCAGCAGCAGCAACCGGAACGGCGTCGACGAGGACTCGGTGGGGCTAGCCATGTTCCAGCTGGGCGTATGCGTTCTGCAGGGCGGCCGGCGGCTCGAGGAGGCGGAGACGTTGCTGAGGAATGCTCTCGATGTGGAGACGCAGAGGCTCGGTGAGTTCTGTGTTGTTTTGCGGTCACCTGCTGCCAAAGGCTCGGCAGGATTACACTGGCGAAGAACATCTACGTAGATTGCGTCTTGTGGTGGCGGGCATTTTCGGACGCTGCCTTCCGACGACGACCACTGGTTGCTGTGCGAACAACAGCGGTCACGGAAAGTGTGACACAGGACCTCGTGTTAGCGGCAGAAGAACTGATGGAGACGTGTAGTGCGGAGCTGGGTGGGTAGCAAGTGGTTGCCCTGCACCTTGACATGGCGCACACCTCGAGGTTTTTCTGCGTTGTTGGGGGCAATCGCTAGGTTTGATCCCACAACACATCTCTCTAAGCCACAAGAGAGATGATCCGGGTATTCTCTCGGTGTATTCTGATTGCGGTTGGAGTCGGAGGGGGGGGGGGGGGGGGGGGGG